ATCGGTGGCAGCAGGGGTGAAAGCGGTCGTGGTCACATCAAACCGCTTCAGCATACTCTCAATGTATGCTGTCTGGGACAGCTTGGTGATGCCATTTTCTACATTCATGGCGATAGCACACCCGTCGTACCAGGTACACTCCCCCAGATCTTTCACCGGAAAATTCTTGTCGAGGGAAGCTAACAACTCCTCTCGCTCTCCCTCCTGCCGCCACTAAGATATCATCAACCTAGATCACGATGAGACCTACGACCTCTCCATCCACCACCTTCCGGAAGAGACACGGGTCAACCCTGCACTGCTCGTATCCATTCTCGATGAGGGCATCGGCAGCTGCAAACCCCCACTCACGGCCACTCTGCTTTTGGCCATACAGGGCACGCTCAACCTTGACCAGCTTGCCGGACATGCTACCACAGCTTCCGGGAACCTGAGGTATATTTCTTCTTTTAGCTTGGCGTGGATGTACGCTTGCTTCACATCCCAGTGAGTGAGTTTCTTGCCTTTNGGATTTGAGAGAAATCCCGCGCAACCATACGGGCCTTGAAGTCGACTATCAGGCCCTTCTCACTCGTCTTCCAAGAGAACACCCACTTTGAAACTATGGCCTTCCGCCCCTCGGGCAGCCCCTTGACCTTGGTAAAGGTTCCAGTCTTGTCGTGACCATCCATCTCTTTCTTCATGGCCACCTCCCAGAAAACCTTGTACTTGGAACACATCACATCCTTGTACGTCATTGGTACTGCTTCCACATCACTCGGCTTCTGCCCGACTGGCGAGATCATACTCAGCTGTGGGTCTGGGAATGGTTGCGAAGACTCGCTAGCGTCGACCTCGACCCCGAACGCCTGCTGTTCCGGGCCCAACACCTCCTGCATCTCTCGCCTGTACATCTCCTCCATACGGCGTGTCTGCTCCTCGTCCCACTGCTCCTTCACAAGCGAGTTGCAGATGTAGTCCTCAACAATCCCCGTCCCGCCAGTTTCCAGGATGGTCGCCAGCAATGCCTCTTCCGGGTCCGGTGTTTCTCCGGGCCCCGGCATCTCCCCGGCACCTTGCATCTCCCGGGTCTGCTTCCGCGTGCGGCCACTCTCAAGCCCATGGCGCAGCGGGCCAGCGTTCGAGGCGCCCCAGAAGAGTTTCTTCCCTTCTAGCTCGCGGGGGTAGCGGTCGTCGGCTGGATCATACTTCAACTCCTCGAGGTTCTCGGAGTCGCCGAGATCACCATCGCTACCGCCGTCCCCACCTGGGTCGCCGGACGCTTCGCCGCCCGGGCCGCCGGCACCGCCGGCGTCACTGCTGCTGCTGCTCGGGCTGCTGCTGCTGCTGCTGCTGCTGCTGCTGCTGCTGCTGCTGCTGCTGCTGTCGGTGGGGCTGTCACTGCCTCCGCCGAAGTCGCCCCTTCCCGAAGGGGGAGACGGGGGAACGCTGCCTCCGTCCCCCGGAATCCCGTTGCCGGGTGCCGTCGGCGCCTCCTCGCGCACAAACGGCGTCGCTTGCCCAGGCCCACGAGCCTCCGTCACGTCGAGGTCGGACTCACTCTCCGAGTCGCTCTACCCCCCCCCAACCTTGGCATGATGCGTCAGCTCTGCTCTCGCCCCCCCCGCCCTCCTCATCATCTGCGAGAGGTAGCAGCTGCGGGGGAGCGGGCGATGCAGCGGGCACGTGGCGCCAGGTGAAAACGTGGGTGGTGATTACGGTTCCAGCTTCGGTTAGCATGCGAACGCAGTCACGGGGGTGATTGTGGGCAGGACCAAGGTACCATCCTTTTTCGCCCTTGGGTTGCGACTTTGCTTTTCTTCTCGACTTGAACACGGCTGGTTTGAGAAACGGGTATGTAGACCCGACAGGCGGTGGGGAGTCGTGGAACATCTCGTAGGCGGATTTGTCTCCCTCGTTTGATTTAGTGGCGGTGCAGTTCAGCTGATGGCATGCACACGAAATGGCCTCGGCCCACAACCCGGGGTGGTTCGGTGCGTCGGGGAACAGTTGCGTCGCTTGGATGCGTGACGCAAGCGCGGCATCAGTGATCAACCCTAGCGCTCTCTCCGCTACACCTTTGTATTTTGGGGTGTAAGGAGGGGTGAACTCTTGTTTGATGCCGTGTCTGCGGCAAACTTCCGCAAACTGCCCCTGGAACTCGCCGCCACCGTCGGTACGTGCGATATCCGTGTCTGCGGCAAACTTCCGCAAACTGCCCCTGGAACTCGCCGCCACCGTCGGTACGTGCGATAAACCTCACATGGAACCCCTTTCGTTCAGTAGTCCGCCAGGAACTTCTCAAACCCAACCGCTGCGTCAGACTTGTGTTTCAAGAAGAAAACACGCGTCCAACGGGAGAAATCGTCTCTGATGATCAGTGTGTACCAGTTGCCACCAATGCTCCTGGTTTTCATCTTTCCCCCCAAGTCGAGATACACGCGAAATAACTTCTTAACTGCGCGTGTGCTCGTGCTCTTCTGGACGGGTTTCACCTGTCCCTTGGACATCGAACAGCCAAGACAGGGTAGCAGCGGTCTATTCGTCAGCTGCACTCCCTGCTGCTCCGCCGTGATCCTGAGCAATGTCTCGTGGGCATGGCCGTGCGCGAGGTGGTACTCGTTGAGGTCAGTGGGGTTGGCTGCTTTCGCATCGCCAGGAACAATGAGTGCGGCACAGGCGGTGTGTAGCGTTGGCTTTATTTGATAGCCTCGTTGGGTCAGCAGCTTTCCAGTCCGGGGGAACCACACCTCCCCCCCGGCTTTCGTGGTCAGCGTGAGGCCCCCCTTCATCCCCGAATACGTGTGGCCCTCCTCCGCCAACGAAGACAGCGAGAGGAGGTTGTAGGGGGCCTCTGGTACATGGGCAGCATTCAGTACTGGTACGGGTACTCCACCATCTCTCGTCTGTGGGACTGAGGTCACATCTCCGTATTCTAGAAGAGGAACGGGGGCCTTGTCGCCTCCGATCCCCTTCACCCAACCGCTACGCTCACGGTAGTTCACGAAGTTGTCTGCACATCGGAACATAGAGCACGTGGCCGCTGTGTCGGCCACGTACACCGCCTGACCTTGTTCCACAACCGCCACTAGACCTACTGCACCAACAGTACCACACTCGCCTAGGGGGATTGCCACGGCACAAAACGCCTGGTCTTCCACGGAGTCCACGTCGCTCTCATGCTCCACCACTTGCGCTAGGACGGCCTCCTCCGTCGCGCACTTTTCTTTGGTGTGGCCCCACCCCTCGCAGCGCACACACCATGGCACGAAGTCCTTTTCGTTGGTAGTGCAGCCGATCGCTTGATGTCCACGATGTCCACACCTAACGCACCGGCCCGGGAACTTATAGTCCCCGCCACCGTCGCCATCGGCGCCTCCGCTGCTGCTTCCCTTGCTCTCCTCGACTCCTCCGGATCCGCCTGAGCGGCCGCCGCGACCGCCGCCGCCGCCGCGGCCACGACTGCTCCTGCAACCACGGCCGCCGCCACGACCACGACCTTGCCCCTGAGTCCTACTTGAGTACCGCTCCCGGCGGCCCTCACCGTCGGCGAAGTACGCTTGCCCTGTACCCTTCGCCCCTTTTCCTTTCCCCTGCTCCAGCTTGTCCTTGATTGCCTTATATTCAATCATTACTTCCTTTAGCACACCGGTCCGCGTCAACTCCTTCGCGTGTCGCAGGTTGTGCTTTGTTATGGCATACTCGTCCGAAAGGGCATCCAGGAAGAGGTGAAGGACGAACGTTTCGTTGACAGTTAGTCCTTTCTCGGTAAAGGATGCGGTTTGGAGCACCTCATTTCGGGCGTTTTGGGGGTTTTCGCCTCTAGAGATCTTGGTCGACGTCAGGGACTTGAGGTTCTCTGACGGCTGTACAGGTGATTCAGGGTCGTGGATGATCTTGAGCTCACGAAGAGCTCCATGGGGCGTCTCTGCCCCCTTCATGATTTTCCGATCTTTTTCTTTCAACCCGTGAGACAGGAAGTTCCACGCGTGGAATGCGAGCTCTACTTGCTCGCTCCGGTACTGCTGTGACAGCGAAAAGTTGCTCTTTCCGCTGTTGACGAGGATCTCCAAGCTCCCGCTCTCTTCAAATTGTTCCAACAGGTTTGCGCCATTTGCTCCCATGCGGAAATCATTTGGCCATTCGTTGAGATCTTTCGATTTCCCGCTGAACGGAGGAGAAGTGTACCGCACACTTTGGTACCCCGTCGCTGGGGTTGTGGCTCCGTATCCAAAGCCAACAGCAGCACCACCATCTCCCATGGCACAACCAAAATCTTGGTTGTGAGCAGCGGCTACTCTCACCTCTTGGGAAACAAAGCCCCCTGCTTCGCAGCTGTGTCGCCCTGACGGGCCAGACTCTCGAACAGGTTCGTCCAGGTACCTCCCGTCCTGCGCACTCCCGGTCCACGGTGCCCCTCCTTCGGCGTTCGCGGACTCCGCGGCGGCGCTCTCCCTAGCATCGCGGCGATCAGCGGCACCCTCCATGGTGCCGGCTGGCTCCTCCTTCTTGCTTTCCTTCATGGTATCTTCCACTAGCGACATTAGCTGGCTCATGTGATCCGTCAGCGAGCCAACTTGCGTCCTCAGCGGCACGAGCTCTTCTCTTGACCTCTTTCTGTCTTCCGCCGCAGAGTTGCTGGAGGAGTCACCCCCATCTTTGCGACCTGACATTCCTTATGGACTCTCCCTCGAGGGACTGGCACTAGTGTGTTCGCACATGTCCTTTACTTGAAAGGGGAAGACGTTTTATCTCTTGTACTTGACACGCAAGGGGAGTAGGGAG